CTGCTGCTGCTGCTGCTGCTGCTGCTGCTGCTGCTGCTGCTGCTGCTGTTGCTGCTGCTGCTGCTGGTGCTGCAGCGTGGTTTTTACTATAGATATCACAAGCACGTGGGCAAGGGTCGGTACGGTCGGTACCGGGAGTTTTATATGAGGCCGCGGTGTATAGAGAACACGCAGCGGCTGCTGTTTATATATAAACCAACATACACAGCAGCAAAAGCATCAGCTCTTAAGGTCTATAGATGGAAAAAGAAAGCTGCTGCTGCTGTAGATACGCAGCAACTGCTTCATGTTATTGAAACTTATAGGTTAGATGATGTTGCTGCTGCTGCTGCTGCTGCTGCTGCTGGTCGCGGTCGGGGTGGTGGTCCTGGTGGTGGTGGTGGTGGTGGTGTTGCTTGGTGGGGTTTCCTGCTGCTGTTGCTGCTGCTGCTGCTGCTGCTGCTGCTGCTGCAGGGGTCTGGGTATGTTACAGACGCCGGTCTGAGTTGTATTTCTCATGTGTGTTTGTGCTGCTTCTGCTGCTGCTTCTGCTGCTTCTACTGCTGCTGCTGCTGCTGCTGCTGCTGCTGCTGCTGCTGCTGCTGCTGCTGCTGCTGCTGCATGCAGACACGTGAGGCCGCGGAGCTGCTTCGTGCTGCTGCAGTGCCTGGAGCGGTTGGTGGCGTTGGGGGGCTGCGACCCGTCGGCGTTTCGTTTTCGTATTCTCTGCAGAGATATCCTTAAGGCTGCTAGAAGGTTTCAGAGTCAGCTTTGTCTTGCTGCTGCTGCTGCTGCTGCTGCTGTTGCTGTTGCTGTTGCTGCTGCTGCTGTTGCTGTTGCTGCTGATGGTGGCGGTGGTGATGGGGATGATGGACAGGCAAAAGAGGAGTTAGAGCTGCTGCTGCTGGTCTTGTGAAAGTTTCTGCTGCTGCTGCTGTTGCTGCTGTTGCTGCTGCTCATGCTGCTGCTGCTGCTGCTGCAGTGTCGTGCTGATGGTTGCTGTGATCCGGTGGTGTGGAGGATCTCTGCATTAGCAGCAGCAACAGCAACTGCAGCAGCTACAGCAGCAGCAAGAGATGCCCTTGTGCTGCTGTTTCTGCGGCTGCTGCCACAGTGTGGAGAAACTGTCTGGATGCATGCGTGTTGCTGCTGCTGCTGCTGCTGCTGCTTCTGCTGCTGCTGCAGACCTGCCCCGAGTGTGCTGGCTGCTGGCGCAGCTGCGAGCCACGGGGGCCGTGGATGCGCTGTCTAGACACCTGAAGCCGCAGCTGCCGCTGCTGTTCCCGCAGCAGCTAGCAACAGCAGCAGCAGCACTTGGGGCCTGCCGGCTGCAGCACAAGTCTCTGCTCAACGCTATTGCTGCAGCAGCAATGCCTTACCTCTCAGATATCTCTGCGGGGGACCTACTGAAGCTTATCCAGGTGCTGCTGCTGC